ATATATATATATATTCCTAGGTGAGCTGAAGTATAGGTGAAAGAGGTATTTAACAGCACAGGTGTTTCAGTAAAGAGGATCACAGAGAAACAAGCATTGGTGCTTTGTTATTGGGCCGTTCTCGGAGAGGAGGCAGCTATATGTGGCTGGACCGACACTGCTACTGCGAGGTCTTCTGCAGGCTGCCTGAGGTCCCCAGCAAGCGCGGGACCTCAAGCAGCCGAACTTATTCAAAATGTTTAAGGGCCTGTATCGGCCTTTAGAATGGGGACCTTTTCACGAGTACAAGTAGTCGTGAAAATGCCCTGTATTGGCCCGATACCAGTATCGGTATCGGTGCATCCATAGTTGCAAGGCCTGGTCCTACTAGTTTGCAAAGGCAGGAAGTTAGCCCATTTTGCAGTAGAGAGGCATCCCCAATTTTGCGAGAGAGGGATGTCTTTCAGACTTTTGCAATTTGGGTAAGGTACATCTGCAACACTTGGGTTCAATGTGTTATCAAAGGGTACAAACTAAATTTTCACTTCCTGCCTCATCCGTGTTTGCTGTTGTCAAATCTTGCCAAATCTCATCAGAGATGGACGGATCTCTTTGCATCTTTGTCAAGGGGTCATAGTCCCCGGAGGCAGACATTTTTCAGAGCTCTCCACTGTCCCCAGCGCCAAGGGAGGGGTTTCCCCTATCTTAGGCCTGAAGTTCCCTGATCAGACCCCGTGGGTCCAAAGGTTTTGAATGAAATCCACATGATCTGTCATTGCCTCCGTGGAATCCTGGGTGCGTATTTACACAACCCCATTTTCCATGACCAGCCTCACGACCTGTGTTTGCTGTGGGTAGCCAGCATTTTCAGTTTGTTACTCTTCTCTTTGGTCTGCCTACAGCACCTAGGGTGATCACCAAAGTGCTGGCCCTTGTTTTGACCATGCTGCACTCCCAGGGGATCCCCATAGTGGGGTATTTGAACAACCTGCTCCTGAGAAAGCAGTCAACGTTAGCCCTGTCCTCCATCATTAATGAACACTACAGACCCTGCAGAGCTTCAAATGGATCCTAAATTTACAGAAATGAGTACTGGAGCCTTCCTATTACCTGCAATATCTAGGCCTGGTCTTGGACATGACTCTATCCAGGGCATTCCTTCTACAAGAGAAAGGGCTGTCTTTCTGCTCACATATTCCGACCCTGCAGTCCAGAAAGTGTCTGACCATTTATTTTTGCATGAAAATTCTGGGCCAGATGGTAGCCTCCTTTGAGGTAATAACTGAGGATATCCTGTTGCGGGAGGGGTTATATAGGCTCCAACAGCTCTGGTCAGTATCCAGTCACATGACACTGGTGATCTGTTATTAAAAGAAACAGACAACATTTACCACATGACAATGCAATATACCCAGTGGTCTCTCATTCAGCTTGTGTCCAAGAAAAGGATTCTATAGGCAAGTCAAAAGTCCTTTGTTTTGGTGACTACAAATTCATCTGTTTTTGCTTGCTCCTAAAGTATATTTTGTATTTTTGCATATTTTTCAAATCCTCTTAAATTTTAGCTTTTATTTTATGCTTTACAGGAGAGGACCCTCTAGAAGATCAGAATGACCATGATTTGGATTCGGTTGCTGGTGTTCTTAAGCTCTACTTTCGGGGGCTTTCTACGCCTCTTTTCCCAAAAGAAATGTTTCCTGATCTCCTGAGCGGTGTTTGTAAGTGCTTGCATTTTCATCTACATGCCCAGTTTATTAGGCTGCCAAAGCATTTATTACATTAGCAGATATTATTAATGGGAAAATATCACTTGATAAATCAGAGTATACATTTCCAGATGTCGACTTGAACACCTGATTGCTATTAGATTGGTAGAGATTGTTTATTCTTTCATTACCTATGGTAACTCAAGCCATGTAATTCTTAATTTGGATCAATGACTTTTTCTAGCTTAATGTATAGTATACATAATAAACAGTATAACAATATCTGCTACTTGTTATGATTACTGTTATTCAAGCTTGAAATGTTATGGGGTGAGTGGGTATAGATGGCAAGGATGGGGTGTTATTACAGTTAATACAATCTCCTCACTTCTTACATGTAAGTGTATTGTGTAGTTCCAGAGACAGGAAATGTTGGATTCAGAGTTTTTATGTTCATTGGAAAATTGGGGTTCTTTTGTTACCTATTGTCCAGGTTTATACGTGTCACTTCTGCTAAATGTAAGCTTCCAGTTCACCATCCTTTGGTAATTGTATGTTTTTGTTATTGTCAAAAGGAGTACAGAGTCTGAACTAAAGCTTTCTTCTTTCCTACAGTCTTACTGCAGAAGTTAGGTTATTGTGCTTCCTTCTTTCTCTATGGCCCCTGTTCACCTGATCATCCTAAACAGATTACTTTCCACTCTCTTACGGTGCCCTTTCACTGGTCGAATTTCAGACGGTTTTTAATGTACCGGCCGAAATTCGCACAGTGTGTGGGGTTGTCGGCTTCCTTTCAGCCAGCATTCCTCAATCGGCTGATCGAAGGAACCGGCTGGAAAATTTTCGATCGCTCTGATCTGGTATTCTGACAGGTGCCGGCGGCACCTGTCTGTGTTGATGGAGGAATCCGGTTGAAGCCATATGGATTTTTCAGGCCTATTTCCTGAAAGACTGGGGCCCCTATTCCCTGTCCCCGCTCATTTTGCAAGAGCAATGAGAACTTTTTGGGCCTTTCAGCACTCAGTCTACTAGGCTTAAAATATTTATATCTGGTCTGGTTTACTGAACTCTACAGGGTGTAAGTGGCTGTATTGGAAAATGTGACTGTAAACCACTGTCATAGTTAATCACACAACTTTCCGTGAGGATTGGCGGGGCTTTTTATTTTCTATTTTTTTGTTTAGTGTCCTTGCACGCCCATAATTTGGTGTCTGCTTTAGGGCATACCACACAATGCGTCCCCCAATGAATGCTGGGATAACGTTTTTTTTGGCTTTTTTTGTGTCCTTTTCTCTAATAGTTAATTGCAGGACCCAGCTCCCTCCCCTCTGACACAGCTTCTTCCTTTCTATCTCTTGTGTTTGTCTCTTGCCACAGTACGAAACTACAGTGATACCTTGGTTTACGAGCATAATTCGTTCCGGAAGCATGCTTGTAATCCAAAGCGCTTGTATATCAAAGCGAATTTCCCCATTGGAAATAATGGAAATTCAGATGATTCGTTCCACAACTCAAAAATATTCATATAAAAATGATTACAATACTGTAATATAATACTGTACAATATATAAAGAAAATAAACCGGTATCTTCGTGGCTGGTGTGAGGGGGACAAGAGAGGAGGATTATTGTGTAGGACGACTTTCACTATCACTAACGGAATCACTGCTATCTCTTGACTCAATGGAATCTTTTTCATTTCGTGAAACCTTAACAAGGAATCTATTCAATGTGACATGCATTGTCGTTAAAAAGACTCATCGCTCGCACTGCTACAGCCTTATTCGGTGGTGGTTTTCTACAAAATTTTGCTCTTCTTGCAAGACATTGCTTGTATATCAAGGCAAACATTTTCAGAAATGTTTGCTTGTCTTGCAAAACACTCTCAAACCAAGTTACTTGTAAACCAAGGTATTACTGTATTATGGAAGGTTGTTTTATCCTTCTCCTGCTATTCATTGCTTTGCTACTACTAAGATTGTATGCAGGTGCAGGGTTAGAACCAAAAAGTGTTGTGCACTTTTTAATTTGCATAGTGCAAAAACCTTGTAGATGTAGGAGCTATACCACATGCTGAAGAATGGAACCCTAGTTTTCTCCACTGAACTTTAGAGAAAACAATTTTACAAGTACAAAAAAAATCCAATTCCTGACTCCTCACTTCCTAATATTTTTTTCCTCTTCTACTATTCAAAAGTGTGTCTTTTAATAACATTTAACTGTTTTGTTTACCAATAATGCTGTGTGCACAATGGCATGCATTTTCCCGCAGCTCTCCACCCGCATATGTATGCATGGCCCTGCAATGTCTACTGTGTATGCCCAAGATGTGGTAATAACACACAGTGTAGGCATCTCATTATTTGAACTGCATGTGTGAATCTCTGTTGTGTACTGCACAGGCCTGTAAACATGTAACAATGTGCAGTGGGAGGAAGTCTGTTTTGACACCACGTGTTAATATCAGAACATGTGAAAATAAGAAAAATAAAGTGACCCCCAAAAATGTCACCTGTTCCTCCACTTTGGATATTGATGTTGTGCATCCTGACCCTAAGGAGCTTTATTAACCCAGCCATAATGACACTTTTACAAATATAACTGATTATTCTGTAATTCAGGGAGCGTGATTTATCATTGAAACAAGTTTGTGAAATAACCTATATCACTGTGATATCTTTAGTGTGGTAGTTTGTTTGCTATTGTAGATTACCTTACACAAATGAGAAAATATATATATATATATATAAAAAAAATAAATTTACTTTGATTTTCAGCTTTAGACAACATGCAAGAAAGAGCTTCCCACGTACGCAAGGTTCTCCTTGGTCTCCCTGCTTCCACTCTTGTGCTCATGAGATACCTCTTTGCCTTCCTCAATAAGTAAGTTTACCATATGCTAAATATATAGATTTTTATTTCTGTGCTGATTTTACTTGTATATTGAACTGTCTAATACTTTGGCATGTTATTACCAAAGTTAAATAAAGAATTCTCCACAACAGACAAAAGAATGATTGGTTCATGTTTCTGTCAAACATAGCGTTGTGTTACAGCGGTGGTTAAAGCTGAATTTGTATAACTTAGTGCCGAGTGGCAAACAATTTATGTAAAGTATTCCATATACAGTGCAGCTGTCTCAGCAGATTATTGTTTAGATTACATTGATGAGGTGAACATTACTCCTATTGCAAGTAAGTATATGATCACATATTTTTGGATATCGAATGGCCTTTTTTGTAGAATTTCTAGTTGCCAGTCAGAGTCGTCATGGCTCCCAGTTTCCCCAAGGTGATATCTGATCAATCTGTTCAAAAGAATGTGAGTTGCTGTATAGATATTTTCTTTAATTTACATATTTTAGGCAGGAATAATAGCATTTTTGAAAATTATTATTAGTCTATTAAAAATGAAAATTGCATATAATAACCCCCTTTTCCCCAGTCGTCTTCCAGGATAGCACGAGTGGTAGAGGGTCCTCCTGCCAGGACAGGAAACATTGCCAAGTTAAAAGGCAGCCCCTCTGGCAGCCTCCTCTGTTTTTTGTGTTACCTTTGTTCAGAGGTGATGCATTGCATGGAACTTGGCAGTAGAGTCTCTATCCCTCATGTGACCTTTATTCCTTTTTAATACCTTTTTTTCATATCCTATTTCCTGTTAAAGGGTTATTCTAGCCTGCTTCTGCCCTTCAGTCTCCTCCTCCTTATGGACAAGTGAAGGCCCGAGTGCCTGACGAAGATCTAATGGCTGGATCTACTCACCCCTATCTAGTGGGACCTGCCGGCAGATGAGCTGGTATTTTATCCTGTCGGCCACATTGTACATAAGCATGAGGCGTTCGACAGCGTACTGCCTCTGTTCCCCGCTGGACTGATGGTCGCCAGGTCACCATGACTGGTGCACTTCCTGGTGCTCCTCACCAAGCACAGATGCTGAGTAGATTGAGTCTGCTGATGTATCATCCTGCTCAGACAGCTGCTCTGACAGTTACCGTTGCCACTGGCCCCAGTTCCTAACCGGCTACACCCTTTTTTTTTTTTTTTTTTTTTTTTTACCGCCTGAACTGTCTGCCTTACTGTGCCTTTTCTTATATGCACTTCCCCTGTTCAGGGCCTGCCTTGGGCCTGGTACCCCTTGGTGTTGGGTCCTTTTTCATGTAGGGTTGTAAACATTTTTCCTGCCTACATGTTTTTTTTGTTACTTTTTGCTAGGCCAGAGGCCCTGACAAAGGAAAAGAAGCTGTTCCTAAGAAAAAATGTGCTGTAGAAATCATCATGTTTACAGTATGTGCTTTATGGGGGATCTTTTGTTTGAGCCTGAGCTGGATGCCACACTAGAGTGTACAGCTGAAAAGAAAAATACCTTTCAGGAACAAACCTCCAGTTCACACAAAGGTGACTGATGGCTAATCTGCATCAAGTCATCTCTGGCCCCCTTGCAAGACTGTTTATTTGCTAGGATATTCAAATGACTCTTTAAAGCAGAGGATCTTACTTCTAGAAGAAAAAAGTCATCTTCAGCAAAGACATACTTTCAGCCTCAGGGACATGTCTGCCCTGAGGCTTTTGTCTTGTATACCAGTGGGCCCAATTTCACCAAAGGCCCCTTTTTAGTCTTTCTCCTGAAGGTATGGTTTCATACTGCTGTTGGTTCAATAAGACTTCAACCCACTGTATAGTGGTGGAAGTAAAACTCTCGGTTTGTCTCTTCCTATGTCCCTGAGACTCACCACGAATGTGAGCTTTTGTGGCTGGATCAGGTGGCACACGGCCACTGGACCCAATCAAGACAATCCTTCAGTTGGAAGTATTGAAAGTATTGAGAGGTCATAGGGCCTCACCTCCTCATTCTATTTGACAATGCCACAAATTTGGCATATAAACCAGACAGGGTGTCACCAAGAGCCCTTCCCTGCACTTTGTTTCAAAGAAGATTCTAGCCTGGGCAGAAAAACGGTCTTCCTTTTTGGTACCCATTTGAAAGAGTCTCGCTATCAGTTGGAAGATTATCTAAATTGCTAACCGAACTCAGCTGAGAAGTGGAATGGTCCATGCACCCAGACGTCTTTGCTGTGATTACATCTCTTTGGGGTTTTCTCCAATGGGACCTTCTTGCTATACAGACTAATGCAAATACAGGGTTTTATTTCTCTCTTACTCCAAGGTACAATGCGTTGGGAGTAGATGCACTCTTCAACCCTTAGATATTTGACCTATATTATCACTTTCCTCAAGTCCTTTGGAAATTCTCCCTATAAACACAAATATAATTCTTGTAATGTCATATTTGGCCAAATACCCTAGTTCTCTATCCTGCTGTCTTGTGCACCCCTCTTGGTTTCTTCCGACAGACCAGATTGGTGTTACAGGGTCCAGAATTACATTCACAAGTGTAAACATGGAAGCAGACAGCCTGGCTTCTGAAGAGCAGCTCTTAAAGGCTAAAGGTCTGGCAGATCATGTAGTTAAAGGAGAACTATGGGGTCGGTGCTTTCCCCATAGTTCTCCTAAGGGTCACAGGAGGACACAAACTAGCGTCCTCCCGTGACCCAAACCTCAGTATATTGCGAGCCACAGCTCGCGTTATACTGAGACGCTGCAGCTGGAACGGATCCCGACATTACTGTCGAGATCCACCCAGCTTTGTGATAGGCAGAGCCAGCTGTCAATCTTGAGGCAGAGCCAGCTGTGCCTGCCCCCTCCTCTGTCCGTTCCACCAGTCAGCGCTGGAGGAGCGGGGGGTGGGGGGGGATCCCTGCAGGGAGCCGTGAGCATCAGTCACGGCTCTCTGCAGGAACATGATCGAGAAGTCAGCGAGCGACGGTATGTATTCGCTCACTTCCCGATCTATTGAGCCGATGTGTGACAGTTTCATTGTCACACGTCAGCTCGAACTATGAAGTTGAGTGAAAATCACTCGCCTCATAGTTCTCCTTTTTAAGGCCCTAATTTCTAGTAGAAAACCAGTTACTCTGGCCATATATGGTAATGTATATAAGAAGTTTAGTTCCTGACTTTCTTCAGTCAGCTGCAAGTACTGTTCAGGAATTCTGACAGCAGCTGGCGCCACTGTCTGTTTACATTGTACACAGCAGCAAATTCGCTCATCCATGCTGTTAGTGTGGATAGAGGAACCTGTCATATGTCAGTGTGTACCCAGCTTAAGACCAAAAAGAGTGCGTCACAAGGGATAAACTGGCAGACCTCCCCATATGATCACACACTATGCCTGTGTTAGCTGCTACTCTGTGTGGCCAAGCTTAATAATCGCTCTGCGATGCCTGCACAACTTCCTTTTGTCCACCTGCTCTGACGCACACACCAGAATGCTTGTTTCACAGGGCCTACCTCCAGGTTACAGAATCGGAGAGTGAGTACTAGATGAGTTTGTGCATGGTTATCATGTCTGCATGGATTCTCAAAATTGTTGTTGTTGGACTTTTCATATCAATGAAGACGTTCTTGCTTCCTGTTGCCCATCATTACCTTTTTGAGCCTTAAATTTATTCCTATCCATTCTCCCAGGCTTTCTCCTTTGAACCCTTTAAGATGGAAGCCCTGCTATTCTGTCTTGGAGGGTAACCTTTCTGATTTCCATTGGCCCTGCGTGTAGGGTGTCTGAATTTAGGGCCTTTCGTATTGCTGGTGCACTTTTATATCAATGAAGACGTTCCTGCTTCCTTTTGCCAATCTCCTTTTCACCATAAGGGGATTGCATTTCACTTTCTGGACATATTAAGGGCCATCAGGACCTACCTTTCATTTCACTGCCTCTTTTTGGAAAGCAGACATGTTTGTCATACCGTTAGGATTCCTGCACTATTGGTATCTAAAAGAATAGTTTAGTAAATTGAATAAGTGTGTGTACCAAGTGTGTAAATTTTGCAGTCCTTGTGTGGCAGTCTTGGCCATGACCGTTTTGCCTGCAAAAAGCAAGCATACAAAGCACCACAATGCATGGTTATTCGTTCAGGCACAGGAAGGATGACTTATGTACCAAGGGCTTGCAGAGCAAAGAGCAGAACTCCTCCAGAGTTTTCATTCCCTGTCCTAACCAGTGGCTGAGCTGTGTCAGTTGGTATCCAAGTTTTTACATTCTCTGGAGGAATCCTGCCCCAAGGGGCTAACATGTGGCTGCAGCATGTTTTCTAAGGGCCCATTCACACCAGCAGCACTGCAATGCCTGGCTCCTGGTGAGCATTGCCAGGCACAGTGCTAATGTGCCAATCACGGTGTATCACACTGTTTACCTTTTTTTTTTTTTTTGTTAGAACTTTATTCATTACGTTCTATGGGGATAGCACAGTGTGATGCAGTTGTACCATGTCACACCTCGTTGCACTAACAACACACAAAAGAACTGCAGGCAGTACTTCATTTTTTTAATGTGTGTGTTCAGTCACAAATAAATATAGTAAATTACCCTTAGACTTTTTTTCATACAGCTAGTCCAATCCGATCCACCAATGCAAGTCTATGGGCAGCCGTGCCAGTTTATACCCTCTTTTCTGGCCACCCAGGCTGCATGCCTAGATTAGAGAGTTTTTTTTTAAATTGATTTTTAAGGGGGAAGCCCCATACCAGGCCACATGTCCTCAACATATGGAGGTTATAATGCCACAGGGGCAAAAATTATCTGCAAGCAGTGTTACCACCATACAATGTATTACTTCCTGCTGCAGCCAGAGGTGTGCTTACTGTGCCCATTCGGCGATCTACAAACAGCCAAAGTTTGCAGCGAACCCTGTGTAGCCATGAACCCGAACCTCATCCCAAGTCTCAGTTTTATATTTCTGTTTCTTGTTGCCAGGGATAATGGTAGTGCCCAATTGTATGTGGATTATTACCACCAGCTACTCCTGAGCAATAACTACATGTGCAGAGGGGTATAGCCCAGAGGGAGGAGCTATACCTTTCTTCTTACCCTATTGTCCCACCTCCTAGAAGCTGGCTATATACTCTAGAATTCTTTGATGTCTACCAATGAGCTACTGAAGAAAAAAGATTTTACGTGATGTTATTTCAAATAAAAATTGACACTGTCCCATTTCATATTCATCTTTTCAGAATTAGAAGTGATATTTATTTACTGATTTTGTATTTCTCTTTTTTTTTCCAGTCTTTCTCACTTCAGTGATGATAATATGATGGACCCTTATAACCTGGCAATTTGCTTTGGCCCTTCCCTGATGTGTGTTCCTGACAATCACGACCAAGTGTCCTGCCAGTCTCATATAAACGAACTAATCAAAACCATCATCATGCAGCATGACAGTATCTTCCAAGGTCCTTCTGAGTTGGATGGACCTGTCTATGTTCCTGGCGGTGTCAGCGAAGACTGGTATGCAGAAACAAATGATTGATTTGCCACAGACTACTTAAGAACAACTCGGGGTAAAAATGTGATTAACCCTTGCAGTGGGGGCTACCCCCACACTCCAAGAGTTAAGTGCTAGTTTTTGCCTGAGGTCAAAAATAAGTTATATTCACCCGATCCTCCAAGTCAGCTGGCTGTGATAGAATTTCTTCTACCTCTACCTGTCTGCCTCTCTGCTGCATCTATGGTATGTCCCTCAGCATCCTCACCTCCTATACACAGTGTAAAGAACATGATGACTTGTTCTAAAGTCTGTGGGAGCAGGTCCACTGCAGCGGTCTAAGGTCCCCAAGTCATCATGTTCTTTACACTGTGTATAGGAGGTGAGGATGCTGAGGGACATACCATAGATGCAGCAGCCTGTTTCTATGGATGCACTACATGAGTAGGCTGGTTGGAGCAAAGCACAGGGATCTGTCTCATTACTTTAGTCACTGGTTGCCTTCGAAATTTCCACTTTCCACTGGTTTTCACCAGTGTTTCCACGGTATGGGACTGAGCACTGACTCTGTGGCCCAATTCACCCAGTTCCAACCTGGCTTTGACCACAGAGGCTTTTATGAGCACTCCCATTCCTGCTCCCACAGACTTTAGGGCTGACCTGCAACAGCCCTAGCAGCTTCTCCGGCTTCTCCAACCAGTGACTGTTCTGAGTTGCTCCATGAGTTTCCAGAAATTATCCTTGAGGAATCAGTCTTCTGCTATTACTGCGGGATTAGGAGACCTTTTTGGCTCATATTGATGCATTGCGCACCTCTCTGAAACTGGAAAATCAGCCAGATGTTTCAGGTCTCTCAAAGCACCTGAGGCTGCAAAGGCCTTCTAATTGAAGCCACTCTTCAAGGTCTTCCTCTCTGGTCATTAGAAATGCCCCAACATGCCTTTGACACCCCCACAATGTTCACCATAATTGTTCACCAGGAAAGGATTTATCAGTGGCCCACTAGGATAGTAGAAGATGTCCTTGTATTCAAAGACCTTATTGAGCAGTTGGAAACACTTTTTAGAAGCGGGCACTGCCTTTCTCCCTATTCCGGCAGTGACTTAAGTTTGTCAAAGCATGGCAGAGTGGTCAGTTTCTGCCACTTCCATGTGCCAGAATGGTCAATTAAAAGGGATCGTGCCACAGCTTTAGTAGATCTTTAACTAATGCATGTGGAGCTTTGCACTTAATCTGTGATGGCCTGCAGGAAACATCTTTGCATGTCTCCCACATTTATTTTGCCAAACACTTGCATAGAGCACTCTGACTATAGTGCTGTTTTGCAATTCCTGCTGCCCAAGGAGCACCTGACCCGCATGCTCTTGAAGGGAGGTTTTTTTGGGCAGTCCTTGATTTTATTATGAAGGACGCTAGTTTGTGTCCTCCCGTTACCCTTAGGAGAACTATGGGGAAAAGCCCTAACCCCATAGTTCTCCTTTGAGGCTCTTAGGTGCAGAGATCGCTAGTCCAGAGATGCAAATCAAACCTTTGACTACCATTCCTTCTCACCTTCAACCTTCCAGTCTACCCACACAGATTAGCAGACCTACCTCTGCCCCTTTGCAGTTTCCTTGATCATAGGTTCATTGCCCTATTGTCATTTTTACCTTTTAATACCATCAGGCCGTAGGATATTTAACATATATCCATGCAGCTTCCTTTTGCAGGAATAGTATTAACATTTCTGAAACGTACATGCTGAGGAAGCCTGGACGAGGTGAAACACGTCAAGGCATTCAGAGACCACAATTTAATTCCATTATAGCAGTGGTGCTTTTTAACAGTAGCACTTTACTGTAATTTTCAATGATCTGTACAGGATTTATGAAGTCTATGGGGGAAATCAAAACTGGAGCAGCTGTGCACAGCAACCAATACACTTCTGTCTTCAGTTTGTTCAGTTAAGATTTGAAAATGAAAAAAAGATGCTGATTGGTTGCCATGCACAGGTACTCAAGATTTTGTCTGCTCCAGTTTTGATAAATTTCCTTCTATGTCTCTTGTATTTTGTTTTTAATACAGACTTGGTGTCTGCTTTTAAAGGAGAACTATGAGGTGAGTGATTTTCACTCACCTCATAGTTCTAGTCGACCTTAGACACTGTCACAGGTCGGCTCGGTAGATCGGGAGGTGAGCGAACATATACCGGCGTTCGCTCACCTCTCGATCCTGTCACGGCCCTCTGCTGTGACAGGGGAGGGGCTGGATTCCCCCTCCCCGCTCCGATCCGCCAGCGCTGACTGTCGGAACGGACGGGGGAAGGGGCGGGTACAGCTGGCTCTGCCTCTAGATAGGCAGAGCCAGCTGTCAGTCACGCAGCTGGGCGGATCCCGGCACAATTGTCGGGATCCGCTTCAGCTGCGGCATCTTCGCAGCTGCTCGCAGTATACTGCGGCATCTCAGTATACAGCGAGCTGTATACTGCTGTCCGGCTTTTAAATATGCTGGTTGCTTGAACATCTTTGGCTTCTATGTAGTCCTTGATCTGGTACCCCAAGGTGTAAATAGTGCAAAAGTGTAAATTGCGGATACACTTTAGCCTAAATGCCTAGGTCAGTACTAACGCTATTAAAAAAAATGTTTATTCTTTCAATTTTAGCTTAATTTTATCTGTGCCACTTTCAAAAAAACATTTTTTTTTACCATTTAATTAATCTAGTAAATCTCTTTTAAAACCTATGTCTGCTGGAACCCTAAGGGGTGAATCTATAAAATGGTTGCAGAGCAGTTTGCCCTGCATATGCTCTTATTTTAGATTTGCACCACTTTATGGCCACTAGAAAGAGCCAATGAGCATAGGAAATTCCTAGCCCCGCAGCTCCATCTAGTAGCCATAAACTAAGATGTCAAAACGATTAGCTCTGCAAATGTTTTATAAATACACCCCTTCACTACCACATTATTGTTTTATAACTTCCACAATTCACACTTGTTTTAAAAAAAAATACTTTTACAGTTTACTTTTGCATTTTGGACTTTTTGTTTTTTCATTCTATAATTTCTCTTATTTAACCCTTACTTTACATATGTTTTTCGGCTGTGTATGTGATTATCTTAGTAATCAAAATGATCCAATATTTTTCCTTACCTATTTATCTCTAGTGAAAGTTCTCATAGCGTGCCCATCTCTTTGGACGATTCTGTTTTGGATATAGCAGTTGAGATGCACACCACAGACAATGGTGAGTCTGTTGGTGTATGAACACCCTAACCTCATATAATAAACCTCTTATTTGCTCTGCTTTGCTTTTGTATATATACACAATTGAAAGTGATTAGTTATATCTGTTCAGTAAGTGCAAAAAAAAACTGTTAATCCTGAGAAATTCAGAGCTGTTTTGTGTTGTCTCCTCTCGGGGAACCCCCCCCCCCCCCCTTTCTCTTTTAGTATATGGGATTAGGATAGTTGGAGGGATTCATTAGTTTATTAAAGGGCAGCTGGACAGAGCTGATATCATTCACTCTACAAAAATACTGGGCAGCCCACAAGAAATTAGTTGCAGAGTGCATGTCTGCAGATCAGCAGGTATCTTTCTATACTTACAGGGTTTTTAAAGGGATATAGCATGGGAAATTGTGTATGTATTCCAGAGATTTACTGCATATGTTTCTCTTTTCTGTATATTCTGTAGATCAGTATTCTTCTGCTTTGCAGACAACAGCATCTTTACCAATCGGGGATGCTGACAGTAGGTAGAGCCTGATTTGGATGGTGGGGGACTAGTTTCCCATTAGGTCCGCTCTGTTACTGATTGACAGCAGACAGTGGGCAGATTAGTCAATAGCAGACTGTCTATTGGCTATGGAATCCAACCACTACCTGCTGTCAATCACCAGGGAGATGGACCTGATGGGGAGCTAGTCTCTGAGTTCCTTGTCAGGCTCCTCCCGCTGTCAGCATTATTTGTTCCCAATAGGCTGTCAGCTATGTAGCCAACAGCATCTTGGCAACCATTGATTTATCCTGTGCCCTGTTTGGCTGCCAGACAGGAGATTCTCGGGCAGATGTCTGAATGCAAACATTGTTGCATGTGATGCTAGCTGACATCATTACCCAAATATAGCCATATTTGAGTAATGATATCTGCCAGGATCCCCTGCCCCACTGTTTACATTTAGCTGTCTGCTAAGGCAATCTCCTGGCTGGCAGCTGAATGGGGCTAGGATACCAACAACCTGGTGTCGTAGCAACCAATGAACCATTCGCAGGAAGCTGTCATATTCATGACAACTTCTCAGCACATCATGCCCCACTCTGAGCACTGGTGCCTCTCTGTACGCTAGATCGGTGTTGGTCTTTATTACTGCCAGTTTCCTATCCTGTGAACTTGCGGTAATTCTTTTTTACTCTTATCACAGTCATACTGGTCCTTAAAGGTGTGATAATCAGCACTACCTGAATCTATTGCATGTGTCAGAACTGCAACCAAAACTGTCACAAGGCTTTTTTAATTAGATGCAAATGGTTTTAGAGGGACAATAGTGCCAGAAATGAATTCCCCCATTGTTTGTTGGGGTTGATGTCATATGAGCTTTGTCAGTGATTTCATGTCCACTGGCTGTTAGGACAAACAATCATTGGCATGAAAAGCTTATTTCTGAGGACATGATAAATGACATCTGTTGTCAAAAGCTAATTTTAGTTTATCCAAAAACAATCTTTAGTTTGTTGTATCTGAGGATGAAGATATTTTGTAGCTTCTGTTGCAAAATAAGTTTGGCTTATCAACAGTACTTGTTAAACAGTTTTGGTGTTAGTGGATAAGTGCAGATGTACAGTATCTTCATGTGATTGCTGTACATGATTTGCAGAGGTTCTAGTAGAGGTGCACTGACATATCGGCTGCCGAAACCTAGCCGAAAATGGCACTTTTGGCAAAATGTCGAAAGTGCAATTTTTTGCCCAAAATAGCGGTGCATCTGTGATTTCTCTCCTCCCTGCTGGGCGCTGCTCTGTGTCCCAGCGGGGAGGAGAGAAGCTGTCACAGGAGGCTGAGCGGTACGGGAGGAGAGTGCTGTGAGCGGCCGGCATCTCTTCTCCCGTACCGCTCAGCCACCTGTCACAGATCAGAGGAGAGCAGTGTGGGCGGAGACAGCCAGCGCTGTTACAGGAGGCTGAGCTCTCCTCCCGCACCGTCCCGCCCAGCCTCCTGTGACAGCTGTCAGGATGGAGAGCGGGTACAAATACTCAGCAATCAGTGATTGCTGAGTGTTTGTAAATAATTGAGGACATAGTATGTTTACTGTCCCCAATTATGAATGAATGGGATTTCATGATTGTGGATATAGTAAACACTCTGTCCTCATGTTATGAATGAACAGGGACACAAAGTATAGAGGATTCCTGTTCATTTCTAAGAGAGGCTGCGGAAAAAGAGAAGCCCAAAGCCCCTAAAAGTAAAAAAATATTAAAAATGCATAAATAAAATATGAAAACATTTAAAAGTTTATAAAAATAAAATTTTTGAAAAAGTTAGAATAAAAAACATTTTCGGTTTTGGCCTGACTCTCTTTTTATTTTATTTCGGTGCACCTCTAGGTTCTAGGTATGCTTGCACAATGGTATAAATGTGGCATATGTCCCTGTAGGTCAAAAGGATATTGTGCTTTTGTATCCTCGAGGAACATATTAAATCTGGAACTTTTATTAACATATTTTTCCACTGTTACACAGGCGCCTACTCCGATAACATTGCATACAGCAGCAAGAGGATTATAAGAGGAAGGTATGTGTTTTTGAACCTGGTTACTTGTAATTTTTGTAATTTGAAGGTTGTTTCAAATATTCCAAACTAGTGTAAATTGTCAAATTCCAGGCTGAAGAAGTGCACCCATACTGTACCTATGAATGGTGTTTAAAGTTTCAAAATCTAATGAATTTGCAAGGTGTTTACATACCTAGAATTCTATGTAAGAATACTAATGCAACCATTATTTATGATCTGGAATTAAGGGCCCATTTACACCCAGAAACTGCAGATTTGTCATGCATTTCCATGTTCCATGAGTTTGGGTTGGCCTAACTTGACTGGCCTGCACAGAGTCCTGACCTCAACCTGATAGACCATTGGGATGAATTAGAGTGGAGACCGCGAGCCCGGCCTTCTCGTCCAACATCATTACCTGACCTCACAAATGCGCTTCTGGAAGACTGGTCAGACGTTCCCATAGACACACGCCTAAACCTTGTGGACGCCTTCCCAGAAGAGTTGAAGGTGTTATGGCTGCAAAGGGTGGGCCAACTCAATATTGAACCCTACCGTCTAAGACTGGGATGCCATTAAAGTTCATGTGTGTGTAAAGGCAGGCGTCCCAATACTTTTGGCAATATAGTGTAGCACGACACTGAGTCTGGCATGAATGGGCTCTAAAGGAATTGTATTATTCTGACTCCGATCGTTGTGATAGCGAGATATATCCCTTGCTATAATGTATTCTAAGCCTATTCATTCTTGATTTTTGTTATGTTTTCCCACAGTGATGGCCCCCCTAGTGAAAGATCTAGTCCTCGTTCTGATTCAGAGAGTTCTGAGACACTGACTGAAGAGAAAGTTATGACTAGAGCCAGTCTCGGCTGCTCTGTTGGAAGCCATGTGGCGGACATTTACCTTGCAAACATTAACAAGTAAGTTCATCAAGGCTTAAAGCCCAACTCTGGGCACAGTAAGCTTTCTGGTTTTAAACGAGTTGCTCACTTAGTTTACTTAAAAGCCACTTGCCTTGAGGTACACTTTTTTTCACTTGCAAATCATGTTTACATGTGAATGCAAGTACAACTCTCGCTGTACTTTTTGTACACGCTCGGATGTTAGCACAGCAGGTCTCATTCACAAATGAAACCTGGGCTTTGTGTTTTCTGAATAACCAGGAGGAGAAGAAGGCATAGATGCAACCGTAGTGCTGAGGTCTGGTTTACTGTGGGTGGAAGTACAGCTCCTTCTGTACTTCTCTGCCCACTCAGACGTAAGCTCTAGAAGATTTGCAGAGTGAATAAGAAAACGTACATCAAGGCAAGTAACTTTTGAGGAAACGGTGTGTGCAAGCTTTTTGTGTCGAGTTGGGCTTAAAGTTTGTTCAGTGTTTAATACTTGTGATTTTGAATGACCGTTGTCTTTAAAATATATTGAATCTACTTTTGGAGTGCTGGTGACATCTTTTGGAATTACTACTTGACTACACGGTGCCTCCGTGGTCGCTACAAGCACCCTATTACAGACATCATCTCCTAGGAGATCTGGTAAGGAGTGCAGGAAGATACACACAATTTAATTCTCTACTACTGTAAGGTCGCACGACTTTAAACTTATGGACATGTTCGAAAACCCGCCGAGCATCGTACGATGTTCGGCGGGTTTGTGGCATTTCCATACCATAACAGCCGCAAGGGCCGGTGTGCGCAAGCGCACACTGCCCGTTCGGCATTGCGGTCATCGGAAGCCCGCCCCTCAGGGGGCGTGGCTTGCGATCATCGCAAGTACAATCTGCCTATGCAACATAGGGAGATTGTACGTTTTTTTTAAGTACCTTACAACCATCGCAAGACAAAAGTCTTGCGATGGTTGTAAGGTGTGTGCCCAGCCTTAAGCAGTTTCACTGTCCTGTTGGGAACTTCACCTCTTATGGTTCAGATTTAGGCCTTAATCCTTCTGATTGTTACAGATGGCTTCTGGTTCTATCCCAAATCCAGCAGTAGCTGCTGTCCTCCCCTCAGTTGGACTGCTTTTGGAAATCCCAAATGTGTAAATATTACTGCATTCCTGTGTCCTAAAATAAACGATAAAGAAAATAGGATTTTTGTATTTACTGTAAAATCTTTTTCCTAAATTCTATTTAGCCCTCTGTGTTTAGTGATATTATGTACTGCTCACTGAGGTGGGGATTATATGGGGACGGGCCTTCAATTTGTTTTGGTTTGCGAGCATCCAAACCTCCAGAATATAACCTAAATGTTTCAGGATTAATATATTCCTGTGGACTTCAAGAAAAAGATTTTTCAATAAGTAAATCTTTAGTTTACCATTAATATATTGTGCAAAAAAAATGTGCAAAGTTGAAAAAAAAGCGCAGTTTTTTTCATTTTGTAACAAATATTTTGCGTTTTAAATGGGACAATTTTTATAGAATGAAATGTATACACTTTTTTTTTTTATTTACAGTAAACCTTTTTTACCACTAACATGATTTTTTTTCATTTGGCTATATATTACATAGAAATTAAAATAATTTTTGCATTATCTGAAATACAAAATGATCACTAAATAAACAGGCAGTTATGTAAAAAATAGCTCTGGTCAAAAGGGGTTTAAAGGTATGAAAGCTGAAGTGGTTAAATTCCCTTTCTAACAGAACACCTACCAAATAAACCTACTGCCAGCTCCTGGTCAGCTCCTCCACCATGTGAGGGAGTACATTTTACTTCAATTACTGATAATTCTTCTCGTCATTGCATAGACTCATTACGTAGCCTTCCTGTACATATTATTATTCCCACAGCAGGACTATGTATACAGGCAGTCACCCGGGTTACATACAAGTTAGGGACTTTAGGTTTGTACTTAAAGTGACATTAAACCCTCAGATTTTTTAACATAAACCAATACTGTAATGTGTGCCTTACTGTAATCCATGGTTGTTCCCCTTCTCTTTGCTGCTCTTCCTTTTAAATCTGTATCTGTTCTCATGCTTGGGGAGAACTTACCTTTCAGCAGAGGAGGGGCCTGAAGCAGAAAGTTCTCTATTAGGTCCCCCCATGCTGATTGACAGCAGACAGTGGGCGGGTGCAATAGCCAGCTTGCTACATGCTATTGCATTTTACAATATCCAATAGCAGGCTGGGTATGGCTCCCAGCCTGCAATGAAGAGTAGGCACGGGGCGGGGCAGAGGAGCCGCGGCCGGACCAGGAGACCGGAGGATCGTCCGAACCTGGGAAGGTGACTGAACGGCTGAAGAGGAAGCCGGCACATCAGCGGAGGTACGTGGGGCATCGGCGGTATGCAGCGGTCTGTGTCCCTGCTGCCTCCGCCAACACAGGCGCGGAGAGCAGCGGGGATTTGAAAGGACAAAGGCTGCCGCAGCCACAGTTCTCCTAAATGTATCGGCAGCTGCTGGTACATTTAGGAGAACTGTGGACCCCGTTCGTAAGTACGGATTGTACATAAGTCGGACGTCCGTAACCCAGGGACTGCCTGTATTAGTAACTTTTTGGGGGATTTTTTTTCCATTTTTGTATTTCCTTTATTCTACTTTCAAGTCTAAATCACTCGCATCTGGATAATCCTCTTCCTGCTGATTTATCTCTTACCATATTCACTTCTTCACATTTCATTTTTAAATGTATACATTGTATGAGCAACAGAGGTTGCCATTTAGTCATCTTGAGTCAGCCAAAGCCATACTAAATAATTTCCTTCTTTTAATATGACCTGTTTGTAACTGCGGGCAAAAATTTAAAAAAAATTTCTGCTGTTTGTCGAACTGTTACTGCAAAGGTGGGGGCATGGCCAGCTGCATGCTGTGTGTGTGTCTATGGATAGGCACGACCGTGAGCGTGCACGCACGGGTGCCTTCACAGCAGCTGGATAGATGATGGAGGCACCCATACGGGGGAGATACCACTAGAGAACGAGGAAATAAAAAGTTTTTTTAAAGTAAATCTGGGCCCTATAAATAGAAACGGTTAAAAAAACAAAAAACAGAAGGTTTAACATCACTTTGACATAGGAATTGTATTTTCAGCAATGCAGCTTAACACAGACCATGCTATGCATGTGCAGCATTTTCAGCAATGCAGTTCACCATACCTGTGTGTGTTCTTCAACACTGTCCGCTAGTGTGTGTAGTGCCATTCTTTATGAACGGCACTGCAATACAAAATATATAGTACAATGCAATGATGTGTGTTAGAGTAACATGCACTAAAATGTGCATGACCACAGTGCAGTAGAGTGTCTGGGCCCTTGGGGTCATGTAAACAAGTTAATCTGCGCTTCTGGAGGGGGGTGGTTGTGACGGACCGCCTGGTACCCCGACTGGGTACCTCCGCCAAAGAGCGTCTCCTGCCCGCCAAACCCCACTCTCAGCCAGCAGATTGGCAGTAACCAGCCCCTAACCCCCAATCACGAGGCAAAACTCATGTTGAAGGTTCAACATAGAAAGAGCAACTGCTTTATTAAACAAAGGACATTCACTTTAGAGACACTGGGAGGGCTACAACCCCTCCCCCTCATGACAAACACAGATAACAGCTTACACAGGGAATCAGACATTTACATACACAGTCACAGTACAATAGGGTGAGCATCAGATAACAGGTGGGGGGGGAAGCTATGCAACTGACTTCACTTAATTAAGTCTCTCCATTTTGAATAGACAAACCATGTGGCCAAGTCCTTGTCCTCCACCATTTTAAAACATATATTTCACAGAGGGCAACAGTCACTGTCTGCATATAAAATGTACATCTAGCCCCAAAATCTCCTGTTCTCTTGCTGGGCCATAATCGGTGGGTAAGAGGCCGGCCTGCAGCCCCCTCCAACTAGCACAGTGATGGTGCATTCCGTCACAGTGGTAATATAGGAATAAATGAATTAAAAATGAAAATGTGAATGAATAATTAAAACCCGAAGCTGCTCTGAAGAGGGATAAATCCTAATATGATCGAAAAAAGCAAAGCGCTAGGGGTAAAATGTGCAAAGGAGCGAAGGGTAGGTTTTCGGGCAAAAACCGGTTTATAAACCTATTAGGTGTATAACTGTGTATAAAACAGAACTAAATCACTATAAATAAATAGAGAAGCTCCAACCATATAGAATATACAATTAGAATCAGTAAAAATCAAGTCCAATAGATTATATAGTTAATAAGTGCTAATAAACATCAAAAAAAAATAAAAAAAAAATGTGTCCAAATAGGTAGAATAATCCGGTGAACGGTGAACTCCGTGTGCAAATATGCAAATATACAAAGATAGCAATGTGCTTGAAGATGATCCGAGCAGCCCCTCTCGGGTGGGTACTCACCAAAGGGAAGTTGGAAGAAAGCTCGTAGCAAGTGGTGGCGTGGTTAGACTTAAACATAGAAGACTTCTCTGCGAGTCCCGGCAGCGAAACACTTGATTTTCCCCTCTATGCCGCTGGCTGTATCTCAGGGATGAGGAGTCCAATCCTTTCGGATAGAATGTTACCAAAGTGCTTTGCCGTATGTCCCGCAGATTTTTAAGGATGAACAAAAGAGAGAACCTTCATAGCGTAATATATAAAGCCTTAAAAAAAATTTATTCCAAAAAAATAGGCTTACAAGGCAAAGAATTTTCGGCCAGCTAAAATCAGCACAGAAACCAGCATAAAACCTCGTGTCTGTGAACTCAGCGTCTACTCTCCTCGATGCGTTTCGTCATGTGACTTCCTCAGAAGTGACTTCCTCCCCTTCTGAGGAAGTCACATGACGAAAAGCGTCGAGGAGAGTAGATGCTGAGTTCACAAACACGAGGTTTTATGCTTGTTTCTGTGCTGATTTTAGCTGGCCGAAAATTCTTTGCCTTGTAAGCCTAATTTTTCGAATAAAATTTTTTTTAAGGCTTTATATATTACGCTATGAAGGTTCTCTCTTTTGTTCATCCTTAAAAATCTGCGGGACATACGGCAAAGCACTTTGGTAACATTCTATCCGAAAGGATCGGACTCCTCATCCCTGAGATACAGCCAGCGGCACAGAGGGGAAAATCAAGTGTTTCGGCTGCCGGGACTTTTTTATTTTTTGATGTTTATTAGCACTTATTAAGTATATAATCTATTGGACTTGATTTTTACGGATTCTAATTGTATATTCTATATGGTTGGAGCTTCTCTATTTATTTATAGTGATTTAGTTCTGTTTTATACACAGTTATACACCCTTGGGGTCATACCTGAAATAAAAATCACCCCACTTTCTTACTACCATGTTGCAGCTAATTTTCCTGTAATGTTGTCATCAAAATATTGTGTACTATGAAACAGTCCCTCCACCAGGTGTCTTGAGTTCTTTCTTATTTCATTGTATTCACAAAATTGTAATAATGTTTTGCAAATTGTCTTTGTTTCATCTCACTATTCAAGAACTATATACACCCCAGTTTAATTTTTTTTTTCTCCCTTAATTCAGGCAAAGGAAGAGACCAGATCCTGGTAGTATCCGAAGACCATTACACCAGAGTGACAGTCTCTCCAGCTCTGACACATCTGAACCAGCTTCTCCAGCAGCAACTGTAAGGCCATCTTCTCAGCCCATCATGAACCCAAGCTTTTATCGCGAAGCTCCAGATCGCTGCTCTATCAGTGGGCATGGAGCTGTTGGCAGCATTAGCCGACACTCCTCACTTAGAAACAAGATGGACTCCTCCCAAGTTCGGAAAGCAATGGCTGCCAGCAGGTCAAAGAGTTTCAATAATCATCGCCCTTTGGATCCAGTGATTATTGCTCAGGTTATTTTCTTTGGTTGTCATATCTTTCTAAAATTTACAGGCACACACTGTTATGCTAAACTTAGTAGTCCCACCCAGCCATTCCAGCAGCTGCTCCTAAGTGAATCATTAAATTGCCCATCCATAGCAAAGTAATGGGTTCACATAACACCACTTCACCCACCCCTTCAGCTTATATTTCCTTCTGCCACCCTGGTTTCTCACTTTAGCAAGGTGTAATGCATAGTACTTATGGGTATTGGGAAGCATGTGATTCCCTCCTATTCCTCCCACAATGCAACGTGTCTGTGCACTGGTACAGAGGCCGGTATAAACTCCCTCCCCCATTACGAAGTTAACCTGGTACTTTTCCCTGAACAAAGTATAGATGCACCTTAAAGCCCAATCGAACTTTCGGTTTAAATTTGCTACATTCCATGTGCATCAGCCTGAATAGAAAAACCTGTTGCCTGTCATCACACTGTAGAGATGGAATCTAGCTCTCTGCAACCAATGGTCTCTCTACAGAGGTCCCACATTCCCCCTGCTGAGTGAGACCTTGCATCTGCTTGGGCCTAGTTGCTGTCCGCTGTGCAGTGCAATATGTCATGATTAGACTTACAGAGGACAGTTCTGCTATATCAGGTGTGAAATATTGCAAAAATGATATAGCCACCTGAGTTTAGAAGGGGAGTGCAGGGCCTGACAGCGAAAGGGTTCATGGTTCTAACTTATAGAAACTGATGAAAAACTGTTGCACCAACATGATTCTATGCTGTTCATTTGCAAGTCACAGTGAACGTTAACATCTGAAAAAACGTGATCATTTTTTACCCAAACGTTTTGGGTTTTTTTCTTGACTCACTGTAGCCCCCATTCTTTATGACTTGCCAGGATTTCTTTCATGTTGCTTTTACAATACACTCTAATGTATTACCTCATTTATGTTTAGTTCTAGGCATCCTGCATGTCTAGAACTAAAGATACATTTCGCACTATTACCATTTGGCAGGTAAAACGTTATCATGTAATACTTGAGTATCTACTAAACTAAACCTTTTTTTTTTTTTTTTCCAGGATATTGAAGCAACAATGAATTCTGCCCTTAGTGAACTGCGGGATCTAGAGCATCAGAGCAGTGCAAAACATGCCCCAGATATTGTCCTGGACACCTTGGATCCTCTAAAGACTTCTCCTATGGCTACTCCCAGTTCTGAGCCTTCTAGCCCTCTTCATACTCAAGTACTGCAAGACACAGAGCCTGGTTTCCAGCGCAGCTCAAGTTCTGCCAGTGACATCCCCTATTCCTTCCGTACTGCCAAATCAGTACATCTACCCCATTCACGGCCTCCAGCTACCCGTCCCAAGCCGACTATGTTCCCTAGATCCAATCCTCTTGCTCCAAGTAGTGCGAGACCTACATCTGGACAACAGCCTCCAGATAAATATTGCCCTGTGTGAAACAGGTTATATAGAGCCTTCACTGTGAATTTCATATTTACAATCTTGATTTTGTATATAAAGACTTGTGCTGAAGAGTGTTTAAGTGATAACAGGAGTCCTGATGATGATAATGGGTCAAACACCAAGTAGAAAAGTGTTGCTGGAAGGACCAGTCCCATGTAGGATTCTATTTAATCTAACAGCGGAATGAGAAGTATATAAGGTCTCATTTTAAATGTCTGCTGCTCCCAGTGATAATGGATAATATTTATAAAGTTGCTGTTCTCTTTTATGCATAACTGCATTTTTAATTTGCAGTGAGTAGGTGTCTTAGAAATCTTATATGTTGGGTAATGAACTCTAACAGTTATCTTGGTTAATGAAAAAATGATTTCAGACTTCTTTTTTTTTTACTTTCTCCCGTATGTTACTTATATTAGAACTACATTATAACTTACATGTTTTAGTGCTCTTAAAACACAGACATAAGAGAACAACTACCATGTCTTGGAACTTTTAGAATATATTAAAGACATTCTACAGGGTACATTGCATTCACCTTTTCTTGCATTTTAGACTAATTCAGCTGTTAAAACGGCATCTTGGAAATTACTTACGGGCTTAAAGTTAATAGATTTACTAGTATGACTCGACGTATATGGTGTCTTTTTAGTGTCAAGACATTTTTATTCTAGATAGATAGATGCAAATAGTGTCTGACGGTCCTTCTAAGTATTCCTTTACAAATTTGTGGTTTAATAGATACAAAACTGTCTCTAGTAAAAAGGCATTGACTGTATGACAGTATTCAAATTGATCCTGCATGGGAACGTACTCTGATTCTTAGATTTACTATTGCATTCCCAGTTTCATGCTTCCTTTCAAAATATGAGCAAAAGGTTTCCACTCCTGTGACGGCAGTCTTGATTGTCATGAGATATCTTTGAAGTGTTTTTGTTCTGGGTGACTTCACATTCTGTTTAATCTGTATCTGGTTCTCACTGTACTAAATTTTTAATATTACAGGAATGGTGCTTAGCATTGAAAACCTAATTTAAAATGTTTCTAAATACAAAATATGGGGCTATCTTTGTTGCTCATCTTTTGTAAATTCTGTAAAGCTGTGTGACTTGCATGGCTATGTCTGGATTTATTACTAGTATAGTACTAAGTACTTTAGTAAGTCACAGCTCTGCAGTAAACATGCAGCACATGATTCGGCAAAAAAGTCAAACTTCCTTTTTTACACATTTCTTCTGTACTTAATCCAGGTCAGGGACTTGGAAGTCTACCTTTCTTGATGGAACAGGAATATTCAAGTACAAGTACAAAGCTGTGAGACAACCTGGTATAACCCCTCCCACTCCCAGCATGCCTCAGTCCTTAGAAGAACTGATGTCTTCTCTCTGCTCTTAGAGAAGCAAACTTTTTTTACCATGATGATCATACTCCTTTTTTTTTTTCTTGCAATATTCTTTAGATTCTGCAGAGCCACTGGGGCTTTTTTTGTTTTTTTTTTCTTCTACTTTTCTGGATGGGATGATAGTCAGCATAGCTTTGGAGGTCCTTCCTGGACCATGCTGGGATAAAGAAGTGAGGCAGGATGGCAGATGCTCTCCTAGACAAATTGTGAGTTAGCTGCAGAGTGCTTTACAGGGCCTTGCTTCATTGGTTGATGGAATCCTGTCCCTGAAGACCCCCTAGGGGTTATGTCCCCTGGAAAGGCAAAGACTGTTGGGATAAGGCTGGTCCTCTGAATTTCATGTGGCCCTAATTTTATTTGGAGTGTCCACATCACTGCTGTGGTGAATTATGGCTTCTGCCCTTACAGGAGCCTTGCTCTGCTTGCCACTTACTGAGTACCCTAAGGGACTTGGGTGGTCTGTCTCACAACTCTGCGCTGGACTTTTTTTTTAGTCTGTGCTGGATGCCATCCTCTGGCAGTGGAAGGGGAGCTGTGCACCCGTCTCGATCCAACACTTGGCTGTGATTTCAAATATGGCACTATTTTTGCTATGCTTTTGGTCAGGATGCTCTCACTGCAGCTGTGTGGCCTTTGTCTCATTGGGCACACTGCGCATTTCCAGACCTCCTCTTGCACTATTCCCTCAACACACGCGCATCATCTGATTTAGAATAGTACTTGGCTGCCTCTAGTCATGTGTCACAGATGGCATTAACTCCTTCTACATCCTGCAGTATTGTTGTGAGTACACCTTGTTAGAATCCCTGACTGTGGTAATAGGTGCCCTGCCAGCATATCATTTTCTAGTAGTTCCAGGGTGGCCTGTAGTGTTCTGAAGGGCCTGACACTGAGAACTCGGATCACTTTTCACCCTTCAGGTGTAACTCCCTCCTCGTTCCTATCCAGATAAACATTTTCAGCTACGATGTGAGTTCATGGCAAAATTTCAGCCATATTGCCTGACTCGGAATGTAAGGGCTGCAAGCCTCTCCGGAGTCCATTTTTTTATTTCCAACTGGCTACCCCTTCTGCACAATCAGCTGCAGATTAAAGTACCTTATATGGCCTTGGTGACTTGGTAGGAGGAGTCTCAGTCGTCTGACTGCTTCCAAGCTTAGGGATACCATTTGGTCCTTATTGATGCAGTACACGTGTCTTGAGCGGTAACAACCTGTGTCCGCTGCACGTAAGGTTACCAGTTTGGGTTCTCTTAAAAGCCCCCAGTCTGTTAAACCTTTCCGGTGCACTCAGTTTTACAGTCTGTTTTTGTATAGTGACTGACCTACCCTTCCCAAGTATTTAGCCCAACAACATCCTATTGAAAAGGGGTTCCTTAAAAAGTGGGCCATCCCTGTTGCAGATCCTGTCATTTCATGTCTCAATGAGACTTCAACTATCCCTGTTGATAAGCAGCTAAAAGCCCATTCCAAGGCCTTATTATTCCTGCCTTGCCCAGCACTGCAACCCACTATTGCTACTACATCCATCTGGCTGTCTAGTCCAGGTATATCTCTCCGAATCCTATCTTTTACAGACCCCTCTGTCTTCCAACAACTGGAGCTCATGCCTGTCTCATTGGTCTACTGTGTTGATGGGTTGATGGATATTTACCTAATTTGCAGGGTGAGTCTACTTTAGGTACAGATGCAGAGGACCCTTTGGCTCAAATGCTGGTCAGAGGAGTATTGGTGCAAAAAATGCCTTTTGCGCATAGCCTTTGAAGAAGGTTTTTTTGGGGAATCTCTGGACAACTTTTGTAAGGATGTCACCAGAGGTGGGAGTACCCTTTTACCCCAGCAGAAGAAGGCCAAGACTCATTCAGGCAAATCTACTTTGGAGGCAAAGAGTTGTTTGTTTTCTCCCAGGCCTCCAAGTCCAAAGCTAAACCTGGAACTCTGTTCCACCATAAGTCCTGGACCCTGGGATTCCCCAAGCCTGCGGGGAAGTACTCCTCTTGTTTCCCCACAGACATGGGCGGACTCTGCACTGCTCTGGCGTAACTACTTCCTTAAGGGGTCATAGCTCTCGTTCCAGAAAGGGTTCCATTATATAGCTTGAACCTGTTCACTGTTCCTAAAGCAAAAGTGGCATTCGCCCCATTCTATACATGAAGGTTCACAGCACCTTCCTCCAACCAAGCATAAACTTTTTGCACAGAATCTACCAGGTCAGTCATTGCTTCTCCATCTACCCAGTGCTACCTGCGTTTTGCTGTGGACATGTAACACTACCACTTTGTTGCCCTTCTCTTTGGTCTGTCTACTGCACCTTGAGATTTCACCAAGGTGCTTGCCTTGCTTCACTATTAGGGCATCCTTGTAGTGGGATGTCTGGACAACCTTCTTTTGGGTAACCAGTTTGTGCAGACTTTCAGCCAACACCCTTCTGACTGTTCAGACCCTGCAGAGGTGCAGTTGGATCCTAAGCCTCCAGAATTCACTGCTGGTAACGTCCTATTGCTCGGGGTATCTGGTAATGGAAATGGCTCTGTTCAAAGTTTTTCTCTCAGGAGAAAATGTGTACTCTTCTCTCCCGTACTCTGCAGCCCATGAGACAACCAATGTTTTTGCATGAGGTTTCTGAGCTTGATGATAGCTGCCTTTTGAGGCAGTCCTTTTATGCCCAATTGCATTCCAGACCATTGCAACCCAGCATTCTGGCAGCATGGGACAGGCAGGCTGAGTCTCTGAACTGCTGCATTAAAGTGACCCAAAAACCAGACTTGCCTTGTCCTGGTGGATCATGAGCACAGTGCTGGAGTCAGGGATATATTTCCTCCCACTGGCCTGAAAGGTCCTTACAAGGAGTCCTCGGTACTCACTCAGTTTAGTGGACTTGGTCGCCAGAGAAAACTCCTCTTCAAATCAATATTCAGGAGCTTAGAGCAATTCTGTTATCCCTTCATCCCTCGACCTTTTGTTAGTGAGGACATCTGACCAAGATTCTCACTTGAGCAGAACAGCACTTCCTGCCTTGTCCACCATGCACATCATAGGCAAGGTACATTGGCAGGCAGACCTCCTCAGTCACCAACATTCTGGCTTCCAGATTCAACAACAAAGTAAGCAGGTTTATCTTCAGGTCCAGAAATCCTCTAGCGCTCGCAGTGGATACCCTGTAACTATGTGGAATCCGTTCAACATGATCTATGCTTTTGCTCCTCTAACTCTTCCCAAGCCTACTCCACAGGAGTGAGCGGAAGAACATTCCAGTGACTCATCGCACCGAACTGGTTCCTGCAAACGTGGTACTTTGACCTAGTCAGACTCTCCATGGGCCCTCTTAGATCGTCCAGATCTTCTGTCCTAGGGACCTGTTTACCACCCTGCTTCTGTTACTGGCTTTAACTGTCTAGCTTTAAAGGTCCTGAGGGGATAGGGGCCTTACTGAGTCAATTATGCATATGCTTTTGAAGGCTAGGAAATAGACTTCTCGCAGAGTATACCATTGCACCTGAAACACACAGTGGGATGAATCCTGTTGTTTCTCCATTCTGGTCTGGACCAGCACTTGGCCTTAAGTACCACCAAGGGTCAAATCTTGGACTTGGCTTTTATTTCAAAGGCTTGCCTCAATCCCTAGTGAGGGTTTGGTGCAGAGTTTCACTTTCATTGTTCCCCTTTATGAACCCCAGTGACTCCTTGGGGCCTTAGCCTGGTTCTGTCTGTTCTACAGAAACTGCCATTTGAACTTACCTGGGATATTCTCTCTAAACTGACTCACAAAGTAGCCTACCTCGGGCCATCACCTCTGCGAATTTGAGTTGGCGGGCTTGCCCTGTAAGGAACCCTTTCTTGTGGTACATAAAGGCAAGCTTGTGTTGAGGCCTAAGGCCTTTTTTCTCACTTAATTGGTTTTCTTATTTTTAACTTAATGTTCTCCTTTCTCTATGTCCTGTTCCCAAACATGTAAAGGAAGTTGCCCTCTCCTGTCTGGTTGTGGTACATGCTGTTCGAGACTCTCTTGGCTACAGCTTCCTTCTGGTAATCTGACACACTTTGTCTATCCTGTATGTCTCCAAAAGGGACAACCTGCTTTTCATTTCATTATCTGCAGGGGGGATTTAGAAGCTTATCATTTTGGCCTCTGAAATATAACCTTTCCTTGTGCGAGTGAACTCCACTTAATCTGTCTTAATGCTTCTTGGGCTTCAACTGATTCTTAGATTTGCAAGACTGTCAACTGGTCTTCTGTTTACACTTTTTTTTTTTTTTAAGTTCTGCCATGTGAATTTTCAGGTCTCCTGATGCCAACTTCAGTCAAGGTTCTTTAGGCAGCTCTGTGAGCTCTGTTGGGTTCCCTCTGTGTTGTGCAAATGGGCCTGTTTAGCGTTGTTAGTTTGCGGTGTTGCCCATCCCTCAGTTGGACTGCTTTTGGACATCCCAATGTACTTGAATACTCTGGTGTCCCTTATTGTATGAATAAACACATGGCATTTTTGTCTTCCCTGTAAAATCAATTTCTGGGACTAAGTAAGGGGACACGGGTCTCTCCCCTCTTGTGTTATGATCCACTCTTACCATTGCTTGCTAACCAAAGAGAGGCATCCTGCGAGTGGGAGGGGTTATACTGAGCTGTCTTATAGCTCTATTTGCCAGTGTCCAATATCCTGTAGGCAGCTGCATATAACCCAATGCACTTGAATACTCCCATATCCATTAATGTACTCCAAGGAAAGGATTTTACAGGTAAGACAATCTTCTTTTCCAAATGAAATGTCACTTTTTGGCACTTTGTTCCATAATTATTTGCCATATCCACCTCTCATCATTCCATTTTTTCCCCATTTATTTATAATAAATTATATATATAGATATCTATATCTATAGATATATAGATATATATCTATAGATATATATCTATATATCTATAGATATAGATATCTATATATATCTATATATATATATATAGATATCTATATCTATAGATATATAGATATATATCTATAGATATATATATACATATATATATCTATAGATATATATATGTATATATTATATAATCTCCCAGGGGTAGCCACCACACTTATTGTAAGGTAAATGCCCAGGTGCTGCTCATCCACAATGTCCATAAAAAAAAATCAAAGCATCAGCATTTTGTCAACGGTTCGATGGAGCTCAGTCTATCTTTATCCAGACTGCTGGACTACTGTGGCTTTATATAGAGAGAGAGAGCTATACATGTATATATTCTGAAACTTTTAAATACTCAAAGGCTGACTGTCACAAAATGTTGTTTTTGGAAAAAGTATAGATAAAAGCTGACTTGCATCTATTTAAAAGATAAATTATAGTGTTGAAAAACAAAGTGGGAAATGTATCAAAACTGGAGCAGTCGGAATCTGCTTCTCTTTTCAAGATTGAAAGATCGAAATTGGTTGGCATGGGCAACTGCTTCAGATTCTGTCTGCTCTAGTTTTGAGAATCCCCCCCCCCATTGTCTTATTTTTTCTGAAACAATTTATATGATCCAAGCTCTGTAAACATTGCCCTAGTCCAGCCACTACATGGCGGTTTGTTTTGAACATAGCAAACAACATTTTTCATGAAGCTGTCTTCTAAGACATGAGTGACACTGTTTCATGATGCATGTGATTACTGGTGTGTTACAACCAAAGACAAAAGTTCAATATCTATAGCTGGCTAAGCACAAAGCACCTTGCAGCAATATAAGCACATGCACATATTTTTCCTAAATATTAGATTAACAGTACCATCAGGCACTTAAATCTTCCTTTTTGAGTTTCAAGCAAAGAAATATGACAAGGTTTTGTTTACCTCTGCTGTCCTAGTGGAATTTTCCACCCCATTGCAGGTTCTTTGCATGTGCTTTATACCAATCTACTTTCTGCCAAGTTTTAATTTTATATTTCCCCGTAAATACAGTATGTCAGCCACATGAAGTCTGCAAAGGTGTTTAGACCAACATTTGTGTGTATAGGGTGTGTGCAAAAAAGGAGAAATGGAGTATAAAGGTATTACTCTTTGCAATAGGCTAACACTGTCCAAATGTTTTTGGGTTTTTTTCTCCGTTTTGACACTTTGGCCACTAACGTGTTCTCTGGGAGCTGTGTTATTCTCATGCTTATAATCCTTTGACTAAATGTTAAGATAAAAATGAAAAACAGTTTAAAAAAAAAAAAAAGCAATGTTTCGTAACTGGAATAATGTATGTCAATTTATGTGCTTTGTATTCTCTGAATTACAATTTGAGGGATGGAGAATTTAATGTGGGTACTTCTCAATAAAACCATTTTTTTATATATATAAAAGGGTCTGTGGAGTGTTAAATTTCACTGGGATTGTATGTGTCACAGCTCCATGTCTATGCCAACTGGATCATATAAGGGTACACCTCGTTCACCATCCAGATGATGCAGAGGTGACTTGGCTTCCTCTGCTTTCATATCTAGTTTTGTTGGTTGACCATGGACCCCGGGAGCTCCCATCTTACTCCTAGAACCTATATCCACCCCAACTCTGCTTCAGATAAGGTCTGTACATTATTTGACTTTGCACTTTTTTCTTTTTGCTTCTCCAACTTTGTTCTGAGCTCTCAGATAACCAATAAGATTTTAGCACCTGGATATTTTCATGTATAGATGGTAACATTGGCAGCAAACTTTTTACAATTAACTCGATGACAAGGACGAGAGGCCACCATTTAAAATTGGTGGGGAAAGAATTTCAGCACAAGGGGCGAAGGGGGGTCTTCTCAGTTAGATCGATCAAGGTCTGGAACTCGCTGCCACATGCTGTGATTTCGGCTGAGAGTGTAGAATCATTCAAGAAGCGACTGCATGATTTCCTCAGGGACCATAATATACAGGGGTACAAGTACTCTTAGGATTGATAACACACAAGGGACCTATACATGCTACACACCAATACAGGACCATACACACATACACAAATAGGTTGGACTTGATGGACGTGTCTTTATTCAACCTCCAAATACTATGTATATATCAGTAGCGACCTATATGCCTAGGGCAGTTCTAAAGCTGTTCAGTGTCTTTTTTACCCATGACAGACCCAGAGTCACAACATCTACTTGGCTGTGCCACAAACTGTGAACAGGGGCACATCAATTTATATACCACATTCTACGTACCCTAAAGTCTGCCTTCTCTTTTGAAAAATACAGACTAAAGCGGATTTCATTTTAAAAAAATGACTTTTAATAGCAAATGCATTCATTAATGTATACCCCTACCAATTAAAAATATGATTTCATCTTAACCCCTTCACGATTAACGATGTATAGTGTAAGTCACTAGTATCGGGGTTGTTTAAACAGACTCCCAGTGGCTGGGACTCCTATTTAAACTTGTAAAGCCAACAGTAATAGCGATTCTGGCGACTCAGCTGTCACCAGATCGCTTCTACGGCGCGGTGAAGGGCCCTACCACCCGGCACTCCCGCCATGTTTCACGGTCTTCGTTGCCCCTCCTCCGGGACCGGCTTCTTTGGTGTCAGCGGGGAGCTGGGGAGGAGATGGACGAACCTCCGTTCGTCGATCCCCTCCCCGTTCTATAGTACAAGGAGTGATGCAGATTGCATCGCTTCCGGTCCCATAGCTGTCAGTGCTGGGCTCCTGAAGCCCAGCTATAAGCTATTGAAGTGTGACCTGTACTCAATAGCTTATTTGGAGTGCAAAGGTGACACTGGGGGTCTTTTTGACCACCAGCATCACCTTGAAGAGTACCTGTCACCACCATCTTAAAAAAAACTGTTTTTTAACATTAATATAACATAAAATAAATCTAAAAATTATTTAAAAATGTTTAAAGTCCCCCACCCCCGCGAGCACGCACGCCTTCCCGTAAACGTGCATTGGGTGTGGTGACGTATGAAAACAAACGTGCTACACATGTTGGGTATCGCCGCGCACACAAGTGAGGGCAATAATTCTAGGGCCAGTATTTTTGGGTATCAATTGATGACCTGTGGGGGCTTTTAAGGCGTCGTCTATGGACTTTTTGGGGTACTGAAGTTTGTTGCCGTTTCACGGACGCACACAATTTTTAACCTGGGCATTTTAGGTTTTATTAAATTGGTATTTTATTGTGTTTTGGGGCATTTAGGTACATTTTTCACAACATTTTGGGGTTTGATAAGGAGTTGCGTTAATATCGTGACAACTGACAACATTTTATTCTATAGGGTCTTGGCTTTCAGAAAATATATAATGTTGGGGCTTTTAAGTAATTTTCAGGCCTAAAATGTGGAATATAACATGGGTGCAAAAAATGAAAAAAAAAAAAAGGCCTTGGTCATGAAGGGGTTAATAAAAAAAAATCATCCTCTCCTTAGCAGGTCTTAGAATTCGGTAAATACAACCTCAGATAAACAAAAACATGGCATATTTCACCATGTGTTGGCAAGAATAGAAATCTGTTTGGCATGAGCTGGCGCCCTTGCCTGCTGTGGGACCCCGCCGGCTTTCACATAAGCAGAGGACCCCAGTGTCACGTAAGGCTGCCCTAAATGCTTGTTCTCATCAGACAGGCATTTTGCAGGGCAGCCTAATGCATTGCCAGGGTCCTTCCCCTCCGTCCCTGTAGGCACCGCTGGTCTTGGAGCAGAAGGGTGCATTTTGTGCAGAATGCATCCTCCTTGCTATTGCTGGTGGTGTATCTTAACAAGGGGGAATTAGGCAGAGTTGGTACCAGCACAGCGCCCCTCTATGGAGGGCGCCTGTAGACACTTGCCTACTCTGCCTGATAGTAAATCGAGCCCTGGGGAGCAGCATTTTTTTAAATAAGCATTTCTTGTTTCTATTCAATAAAAACAATGCTACCGTGAAACAATTGCAGTGCCTTTTATGAAAGGGGCAAATTGCAGAATAAAATGTTGTAGTTGAATTGTTTTTTTAACACTTAAATTTGTATTCAACATTTTTGTTATCCCTTATTCATTGTATTAACTCCTTCATTCCTTTCCCTTATTTTTTGACCATTTTTAAATCTGTGTTGATTTTTATGGCATCAAATTAAAGAACTGGGTGGGAAGGGGGCACACATTGGCATCCTGGCACTGACTGCAAGTAACTTCTGGAGGTGGCAGTACTAAACTAGCCATTTGAAAATATAAAGTAACATGTATCATAAAGTCAAATATAACATGTTTTTGATTTTATCTTTTGACACATGTATTTAGCAATGCAAAGTTTGACAGAAAAGTAAAGCCATTTGCATCCTGCAGAGAAAGTGAACAAAGCCATTCCACAAGAGTGCAAACACAATTGTGTTTAGTTATAGAGTGTATGTCTACTTTGTAATGGTTGTCAGGACATAGTAGCATGCATTGTCACACTTCCTGGTCTGTGAATGCTGCCCCACTGTCTCCATCGCCTAGCAACCGTTCTAAACGAAAGCCACAACAAGTCTCATACTGACTGATCCTGTCCGCACTAGTCTGCACCAAGAACTTGCTTCACATCATGCCACCTACAAGAGACCCGTTTCCTTATCCCAAATATGAAAATGACAACTCCTTCCAGGGAAAAGGACAGGTAAGATGTGGTTTCCTTATCGCTCCTGCACTGAAGCATTTCAAATAAAATTGCAAACATGATCTGAATGAAAGTGACACCTCCATGTAGATTTTACAGAATGCCTTTACCAACCAGCAGGCTTTTAATGTGCTAGTTTTTCTTGTGATGTTTTTTTATATGTGCTAATGTGCATCGACTGATATGAAAACTGCAATGTTTGCTGTAAAATAATTTTATGCAAACATCAATTGTAACAATTATTTGCATGGTTATTTTAAACGAACAGTTTTCCTTTAACATCCTCTCAATCTTAAAAGAAAACTATGGGGTAAGTGTTTTTGTGGGGGTCTGCGGGCAAGGGGGGTTATTTGCATTGGGGGCACCCAGAGGCCGTCCCTCGCCCCCCCCCCTCCTCCTGTGCATGAATACCCCTACCCATTCATTAAATGGTTAAAATTCAATGTGAATAAACAAACCACACTTTTAAAGAAAATCCTTTAATTGAAGAAAAAAAAGTCAATTTCTGACTTCCTTTATCTAAAAAAAAAATAAAAAAACTCCATCGATGTAATCCAGCGTCAATCACGAATGCTATCTAGTAATCCAGCTCCCAAATGCTATGTAGTATTTGACAGCTGAGAATGTAAAATGGGCGGAGCAAGCTGTGATGTCACGGCTGGCTCCGCCCATCTGTTTACTTTCGGGCAGAAGATGTCATTTTTGCGGCAGGTTTTCATCGGGTTCGGACAGTCATCGTGCGGCGGGACTTCTTTTATTTTGGCGAGTCGGCAGGCGTCGTGCATCGTGATTGACGCTGGATTACATCGACGGAGCCATTTAAAAAAATTAATGAAATCTCAAAGTGTGGTTTGAATTTTAACCCTATAGTGAATGGGTAGGGGTACAAGTACCTCTTACTCGTTCACAAGGGGTGGGCGGCATCTCTGTGCTCCCTTAAAGGGCTACGCTCGTTCTAGTTAGAAGTTGATTATACATTTTAATACAGCATGCGGGTCTTCTGTGTCCTGGCTGTTTTCAGAGGCCAAGGACCGAACACACAATAGAACTTATTTATACTAGTGTCTTTGTGGCTTGTAGTACCAAAAAGGTTCAGATGTGAACTAGAAGGGTTTGTGAATATAGAAAATGGTTCAAATGTTGATACACTTTGATAAATTATTTAGTTTACAACATCTTTCATGCAAAATCTTAATATTTCTAAAATCTTGCGATTAACCCCTTAGTGACCAGTGACGTCCATAGCACGTCATTGGCACCGGGCTCGTTTAAACAGACTCCCGGCGCATACAAGACGCCGGGACTCGGTTTAGAATTGTAAAGCCGACTGTCGGCTTTACAATATAAGCGATCTGGCGACTGTCACATTGGGGAGATTTACCTTTACTACCTGTCTGATAGCCATAACAGGAAATAAGAGTAAGTCCCTAGTGGTCAGCAGGGTCACCAGAACCAGTGTCCCCATTGAAATACTCGTGCACTGGCTGGGGCAGCTTTCCGTGATCTGCATAGACTTGGCCGTCTTTGCAGATCACGTGAGGCTTCCCTGGCCACTGCTAGAAGCACAGGTGTTATCAAGACACGGGAGGGGTAGCTTAACAAATCTTGATTACAAATGTTGTGGGCTGTATGCATGACACACTTACTGGGTGTAATTAAAGACACCCATTTGCAGCAAGGAAGGAACCCCTCCCCAATCTTCTGTTCTCTTTATTTTGTAATTTGCCGCCTTAGTTTCACCATATGCAAGGTGGTCTTTATTTTAGCATTAGAAAAAACTGATTTTATGTAGTTTATATCTAAATTTCAGAGTTTATGTTACCAAAAATCATTAGTTTTGACGCAAGGTGAAACTCCCTGGAACCGACTTCATGCAACTCCCACCCTATCAAGTGCAAGAAGGTCTGCCTATTACAATGACCCTGAGGTAAGCAATATATAATGGGGTTTTATTATTAATATCTAAGAATCCCGTAGACATGACAATAACTACCTTCATGCCTCACTGTGCCTTCATGAGTACTAGAATGCACTTACAAACATAATCCCAGTTAAAACGTGTTAGACCAACATTCCTTGGATTATAAAAATACAGACTTGAGCAATGATTCCAGTTATTTTCCTGTAGTAAACTGACAAGCTGGGTACTTGCAATACTTTCTGTACATTATTGCATGACAGGTGTACACACCAAGTCAAATACACTCATCAGTTGTATTAGAAAATGGATTATGTTATTCTGAAAACATAACTACAGTACAGCTCTTAGATATGACGGGGAAAGAATAAATATTAGCTATGCATGAACCAAATTACCATTGCGCATTGTTAAGGCGTTTGGCATACATATGGTGCTAGTAGAGTTTGGTATAAATGGCAATATTTGGACCATCCACAAATCTAGAAAAGATTGTTTTTCCCATCTTCACTCACATAGCCATGCAATTCTAGACGAGCAGGAACCACAATTTAACAAGAAGTTAACTTAAAGCGAACTCCAGGCAAACAGTTAAATTTACAGTTGAAATGCATATAGGAGAGGAGTTTTACATTCCAAAGGATTAAAATTTCTGTCCTGACCTGGTACAGGGGAACCCAAGAGGCTGATATCAAATGCAGGTGCTTACACTACTTGGATTAAAAAATAAATGTTAATCTACTATGTGGGGTTTAACTTTAAAGCAAACCGATGTTATGCCCTCGCCATCCCCAGCAGCAAATATTTACCTTTCCTCTGTTCTCTCAAGAGCTCCATTTAGTGCAAGGACCTGGAAAGAAAGTACAGAAGGCCCCAGGCCTATCAGCACTGTCACACAGGAAGTCCATACTGAGTGGTTGTCATATTAATTAGGGTTGCACAGATATCAAGTACAGTACTCGGTACAAGTAGGAGTACATGTACCAATACTTTTGAGCTCCAAGACTACACTAGAGAAAAATTCAAAAGTTAGGAGGCAGCTGTCATTTATAAGGAGCACACAGAGCTCCTAGGATTTGTACATCTCTGTATTAATGTACGATTTTGTTTTTATAAATATAAATAAAGGGATGCACAGATACCAGTTTTGCGAGTACGAGTACTGGTACTTGCCGAGTACTTACAAGTATGAGTACTGATACATTTTTGTTTATTGTCATGTGACAGTTTTTCTAAAACAATGCAGACTAATGATTTCAGGACAGTGGTGGAGCGCCAGAGCCAGGTCCCAGCTGCAACCGCTGCAACACTGGTAGTTCTCATGAAAATGCCAAGTATCTGCACTGGTACTCAAAAAGTATCTGTGCAACCCTAATATTAATACTTATTTTAATGGCAGCAATGCCTTGACTAGAACAAATATACAGCCAGTGAGAGTTCTTGATCTGCATGCATGCAGTAGGTCAGTGCTTGAGAAAGCATGACAGCCAAGCAAGTAATATTTGAGAAGTAGGTCAGGAATGACAGCCTACTCTGCCTTTTTGCTTTGAGGTGGATTCCTTTCGGCTACTAATATTAGAATTCAGTTGCATCATAATTTTAGAATTTTCCTCAAACACCATTTGATTTCTTTACTCACCGTAAAATCCTTTTCTCTATCATCCATTAAGAGACACAGCTTGATGGCAATTAAACAACGTAGGGTTATACTGCCGCCTACAAGAGAAAAGGACACTAGGCACAAAAACACTGAAGGCCAGCCTCCTAGACGCTATAACCCCTCCACCTCACACCTTGGCACTTGTAGTACAAAGTCCAAAGAGGAAACTATAGCATATGTTCTGTGTCACTAGGATGTCTCTGCTCACCGCAGAGAATAAAAAGTGGGAAAGCCTGCTCTCGATGGCTAACTGGAGAGACTTCCAGAATTTTCCATATGCGCCATGAATTTACCAGTATCTGTTCATAGTAGAAATCCTTTCAACCAAAAATCTTCCAATTCAAGTAAGGAAGGAAACCTCCATTCTCCTAAGTAAATGAAGTGTAACTGGTAAGGCCTGAGGTGGGGGGACGGGTATAGCGTCTAGTGGGCTGGCCTTCAGTTTTTATCTATTTCTCCTCTAGGCAGCAGTATAACCTATGTTGTCTAATTACCAAGAAGCTGTGTCCCTCAATAGATAAAGAAAAAAATTGTTTCTAGATTCCTCTTAACACATGTTTAGATGGTGGCTGTGCAGAATGATAGCTGGTAAGTCCATATCCACTGTAAATCACTGCTGAGTTATAGCACTCCAGTGCTATATAACTAGCATGAGACTTGATCATGGAATATACGGATTACATGTGAACCTCAAATGCTATATGCTATATAGAAAATTTGGGGTTAAAGATCTGCCAGCAAATTGCCTACTCTTTCTTTGGATGGAATCAGTGCATTCATATATTCTCTTGTAATAGACTTGTTTCAGGAGTTTATGAAAACATTGCAGCTTCTGTTGGGTAGATGGAACAATGCCAGAGTGTAGTTGTAGCAGTAGAGTGAGCACAGGCACATGGAACTCTGTTTTTCTATTTTAAACTAAATTAGGATGTGTACAATAGGCATGGATACATGTAAATATTTCCAGTGATGTGTTTTGCTCCTTTCTTCTAGTCTGGAGCTGACAGTTTAGACTTCAATTTAAAGGCCACGTACAACCATCATAACAGCCTCTTGAAGAACCGTAACGAGACGCTATTCCAGTTGGAGACATTCACAGACAACCACGGGTGAGTAAAAAATCAATGACCATCAAACAGAGGCCTGATTCCTCAAGGTTTGATGGCAGGTTAAGGATAACAAAATGTAAGAACTATACTATATTACATATATTATGAAATGATATCATTATATATTACATACATATTGCAGCTTACCAGTTTTTAGATGTGATGGCTGCGTTAGTTTATTTCAGGCTAAGAACATTTTCAGCAAATACAGAAAATACCTGTTGATTTTGCCAGTGATGCAGAGTGCTTGTCGCTTCCTGTGAGCTGACCTGGAAGCATAAACAAATCAAATCTTCCTTCTGTAAACCAGTATTGCCTCCATCACCCATGTAATAAAGGTAACCAAAGGCATGTTTGGAATCCAGCCTGAGTGCTACGATGGCTCTCTTTATTGATAAAGTAGAGAAGTGAGCGTAGCCACTCGGGGATAAGAAGCGACTTATTCGCAGTATTACCAGGTGAAAATACATTTTAAGAAGCCTGATAAAGAAAACTAATGTGGTCACCTCTCCTAAAGACTGTACCCTGCATTTTTTGTTGTTGAGCTTAGATACGCTTTAAGGAAAATTTGAGCTCAGAAGTCTGGAGACTGCCAATGTTGATCAGTTTCTCAATAAATGCAAGTGCGGCAATTGAGTGCGCCCCATAACAACACAGCAACGCCTATAGTCAGCAGCTGGGGGTTAAGGCCCATCCGCCAGCTAAATACACAGTTGAAATACAAACACGGGTGCTATTTTACTTTCTAAAAGATTTGTATTTCTGTCCATCCAGTCCTGAAATGTAAAAAAAACCCTGCCAGATAGCGAAACCAGGTTTTTCTCTATTGCAGTTAACTATAAACCTAGTTCACCTACGTGCCTCCAACATAGGACTGGATAGTGAAGGTGCTTCAGCAGTTCACCCCTCTCTCCCCTTATTGGGATACTTGATTGGAACCTAGTGCTGCCCTGAATGCTGTGGTACAAGGGATCATAAAAGGCGCTTACACTAACATCATTTAAAAGCAGGTTTCATTATTTTTTAATTAATACACAATTGCATTAATTGGTGTTTTTATTACCTTTTTCTTTTTTTAAAGTGGTATTAAGGGCTAGGTGTTTTTTACCCTAACCCTTTTGCTGCCAAGACGGAACGCTTTAAACCTCAGCTGCTCACACCATTTTTGATTTTCCATTGCTGCATTGCTAGCATTTGTAAAGGACCCCCCAAACCATATATTTTCTGAAAGCACAGGCCCGGAGGAATAAAAAGATGGTGCTACTAATTTTGTAGGTCCTGTGATAATTGTGGAAATGTTTATCAAATCAATATGAAACTGATAAAAATACACAATTAAATTGATAAAAGCACACTAAAATCGGTATCAGTGCACACAAACATACTTTTCCGACTAAATCTAAAAGATAAAACCGTATTGAGTTAATAAATAAGAAATATTTGTACATTTTAAATTGCGCCTTTTTGCGAAACGGTTGAAAAAATTAACGCAAAACTGTTAAAAGGCAACGTGCTGTGATAAAATGACACAGGCGTACATTCAATTGCAACTCAGTGTATGACAACGCTGCCACAATTAAATTAATGTTATTTTAAAAAGCAAAAAAATCAAGCACTGCGATGTGTTCTAACAACACACTGCAGCACATCGCATACACAATATGGTGCACACTGTTGCGTATGTTATGTGTGTGTGTGTGGGGGTCGTTTTTTTTTGTTGTTACTGGGGGCTTCTGGGAAATATTAGGGGTCTAAACAGACCCCTGACATTTCCTTTTTGAAATAGAAAATGAGGACACAGAGTCCTAAATCTCTTTTTCTACAGCCTCTGTTCTAAATGAATGGAAAGCTCACAGTACAGAGACTTCCTATTCATTCATAAGCTGGTGATGGTAAAATATTTACTATCATCCAGTTATGAATGGGTAGAAGCCTCTGTAGTGAGTGCTTCTCTCCATTGAGAAAGTCATGAATGAACAGGTAGTGATGTAAAGCACTTCCTGTTCATTCATAACTGGTGACACATAGTACTATGTGTCCCCAGTTGTTTAACAAATGCCCGGAATATTCGTTAATAGCTGAGCTATTATTTTACAGGGAACCGTTGTGATATAAGTTCATGGTTGCTAAAGCGAGAGAAAGCCACCGAGCTGGAAACAGTTGTGTTCCGCCGTATGCCATACGTCATTGGCAGGGTTAATGCATTCTTTGCATTAAGGCAAAAAACACCCAGCACTTTTCTAAAATCGCTGTCCCCCCACACTTACCTGCAGCTGCACGTCTCCTCTGCCACGACCAGGAAGTTACTCAGGTTTCCCCAAACTTCCTGGATGCGGGGGAGGGTACTGAGAGCAGAAGAGCCATAGGCTCCTTCTGCTGCCAGTCAAGCTGTGACTGCAAGGGTTGGGGGCGTAGCCATCCACACACTGTTTGTGCCTATGGACGCACACAGCTAGGTGCAGGCACAGCCATACCATGCACGTACGGGTGCCTTCACAGCAGTCGGCTAGCTGATGGGGACACATATACAGGGGGAGTGGTGCTAGCTGTCTGGATACCACTACAGAATGAGGAAATGCTGGGAACAAAAAATGTTCTTATATTATTTCTTTTTTTAAGTCTGGCCCGCATAAAGCAGAAAATTAAAAAAAAACCTGAAGGTTTAATGTTGTTTTATTATCTGTCAGCATTAAATAACTGCCGTTGCCAATCTTTTTAACAAACATTAGTGTAAATATACCTGTATGCATACATTTGATAAAAAAAGGGTATTGTGTAATTGTCTTGCAGAAGGATTTTGAAGAACCAGGTCAAAGAATTATCCACTTCCCAGGAGGAAAATACAGGGTTTAGACAGTGGGTGAGTCCACAGAAGATCAGCGTGTACAGCATTGAAGGAGCCATTAGTAAGTAATGCAAACCTCTGTCACCATGTACATATATAATTCCCTAATTAATAAAATAATTGTGTCACGTGTGTGTGACGTGCAGGTGTGAACACGGTACATTAAAATGTATGGGGTTTTATTTTTGTGTGTGCTTTCTGCGTTTTGGGCACATGAATATGTGTGGGAAAACCGTGCAGGTGTGAATGGAGCCTAACAGGCCACTTATCCATTGCATAATGCCACATCCTCAACCTTCGAAATGAAAGCTCTGCTGATCAATTTAAAGTATACTTCCTATGATCCATTCCTACAATTGTTTTACACACCTTAATACATTTCTTTAATCGCCCACCTCAGGGAAATTATTCTTCTATTTGTTTGTTTATGATATTAATCTTTAACTTTTTAGTGATTGAAAATAATAGTCATATACAACCCTAATAGGGACCCTCTTTAGCTGGATGTTTTCTCAAGTCAAGACGAAGTTCCAGAGTGTTTACATGCATTTTGGTGCCTTCAACAGCAGAAAAAGATAGGGCCTGCTGCAGTTTTTCCACATGCACTGGAACTGAACGCTCTGGTGTGAACTAGAGCCCAAAATACCACTGGAATACATTGGATGCATTTTTTTATGCGTTAAACTGCTCTGCATCTGCTCCCCACTTGGTGTGAACATGCCCACAGAGTGTGTGTTTATGCAAATAAACACACACTACCAGTCAAATCACTCGGCTGTAGATCCTCAAATCATCTCTGAATTGGTGCTGACACGTTCCTTCCTTCTGGAGGTTGGCACTCCAAGCTCACTCCTGTGATGTACTACAATCTCATGTTTAGTTTACTGATTTGTATTGAGATTGTAATCCATCATTGGGGAGTGAGCTTGGAGTGGTGGCTACTTTCCAACAAACAAAAAAGTAGTCACCCTCCAGAAGGAAGGACAGTGTCATGATGAATTTAGAGATGATCAGAGGATCTACAGCTGAGTGATACACAAATTTATATAAATTTTTTTTTGGAAGCAGTGTAAAGGTCATTATTAAACAGCCACTTGCTGGATGTATTTTGTACCGTGCTGGTTAAACTCTAGAAACTGTTCGTAGTGTAAACATTCCCAGAGATTACCAGTAGAGACAAGGCTGGGCTTGGTGTGAACCCAGTTTGCCTGAGTTCACCCAAGTCCACTCAAAACTCTGACCGCCATCCCCTCATTTAAAAAACTGAATGGCAGGGTTTGTGTATGTGATCCATTGCGTTCATGGCACAGAATCGTGCCCTGAACACACTGGATAGTGTGAACGGGCCCTCAGACAGGAAGTGTTACTGGCCATATCACTAGGCAAAAAAAAGGGGGAAGAAAGCCTAACGGAGAAAATGAATGCAGCTGCCACATTTAAGGATTGGTAAGCTGTAAATATATCAAATTGTTTTAGGGTTTAGATACACTTACTTCTAGCTAGATCAGTTAACTGTTTTTAAAAAATCTGGATGTGTTCCTAAATGCACCAAATATTACTAGATATTGACTTCTTATAAGTATAATAAGCACCATAGATTGTTGATCCAGGGAATATCCGTTTGCCTGATGGGATCAGGAAGGAATTTTTTTCCACATTGGAGCAAAGTGAACTATGCTTAAAAGGAGAACTATGGGGTTAGGGCTTTTCCCCATAGTTCTCCGAAGGGTAACTGGAGGACACAAACTAGCGTCCTCCCATTACCCAAAGCTCAGTATACCGCGAGCTACAGCTCACGGTATACTGAGGCGCCGCAGCTGAAACGGATCCTGACATGTCTGGATCCGCCCAGCTGTGTGAGTGACAGCTGGCTCTGCCTATCTAGAGGCAGAGCTAGCTGTACCCGCCCCCTCCCTGTCCGTTCCGCCAGTCAGCACTGGAGGATCGGACAGGGGAGGGGAGAATCCAGTCACTCCCGTCACGGCTCTCCAGTGACAAGATCGAGAAGTGAGCGAGCGCCGGTATGTGTTCGCTCACTTCCCCATCTACTGAGCCGACCTGTGACAGTTTAATTGTCACAGGTCGGCTCAAATTATGAGGCTGAGTGAAAAGCACTCACCTCATAATTCTCCTTTAATAGTGTGTAACTGTGGGCATAGCGTTCTGTTTTAGGTTTTTTCTTCTCCTCTTATCTCCATAGGTTGAACTCGATGTGGCTTTTTTTTCAACCTGGCTAACTATAACTATGTATGCAATGTGGTGCTGCCACATGATTACCGAATTAGAAATCTGCTTGAATATACCGTAGAACGGGTGTTCCTAATACATCGCTTGATACTTCATTAAAAATAATAAAGTGTACATTCCTGTGAGTTTACCTGCATGGTAAAACACACTATGATGAACATAGCATGTAATTACAAGTGTATGAAACTGTCCACCAGAAAGCAGGTTATTAAATTTTTCGGCATGGTTAGAGGGGTTTTGCTGGAAATATTATTCAGCCACCACATTTGTCCTCTGGGTAGATTTATACATCTATAGATGCAGGATGTTTTCCAGAATCATGATAGAACATTGAGCAGGCTGAATGTAAAAAATAATCCAATTAATACTTCTGTGCTCCTATGTGGACATTCCAAAAAATGGAATGTTGATAGTGTTTAAGGGCTAGTTAAAGCTGGCCATATACTGTTATGTTTTTTTTGTTCAGCCTGGAATAGAACAGATTTCTTCATCTACACTAAGCAGCTTGGATGGATGAATCTTCTGTTGTGAGCTTTATATTCTGACAGTGGCAAGTGTGCTGTTGTCAGAATACTCACACTGATGGCAGCCGTCACTGTTCGCCCGAAGATTTTCCATCAAGCTCCTTCGCTTTTCTGATCGGAGAATGCCGGACAGAAGCCTGCCCTCAGGAGCACCCACTGGACAATTTTGGCTTGTTCAAGAACCCAATAAAATTCGCACAGTGTATGGGCAGCTTTAGGAAATGCCGTATTTCATGAAGGGGTTCATAAGAAATCTAAAGCTCTGTCTTTTCTTCTCTTTTTGTCACATTTAGCGAGTCATCACTCAGCTGCAACTAATCGTGGCTACTCTCGGAAAAAAGATGGTGGATACTACAGCATCTAACTAGAAGCACTCTACTGTTTAATTAAAAAAAAAAATGGTGTTATGACGCAGAAATAAACATTAATTAAAAAATTGGTGTTATGATGCAGAAATAAACATTAATAAGCAAGTGCATGGATCAATGATTTCTCTAACTTAGTTTACATTCCTTTGAAGGTTATTATACAACATGTTCTCCATTCAAACATATATTTATAGGATGCTTTACCACTCTGGGAGGTAATTATTTTTTTTGTTCTGTAGTACGTAGCACTCTGCTGGGTAGATGCTGTACAGGACCCTGTATGCGCTGGACTGACTTTTCTAAAATATGGTTTTCAGTGTACTTAAACCAAATAGCAAGTATTGTTATCCTTTAGGGCTGCAACCAACTAATCGATTAATCAATAATGAGAATAGTTAACTTTTCTCACTTTTGATTAATTGGATCCCCTAGCTCTCTCCTCCAGGCTGGGAGGAGGGCACAGCAAGCAGTGGGCAGGTGCAATAGCTAGCCGGCTATTGCAATTTGAAATGGCCAATAACAGGCTGGCTATTGCACCTGCCTAGTACCTGCTGTGCATTCACCTGCCATCTGTGGAATCTTGCCACTTGCAGCTGTCATTCCCTGGCTGAAGCTATTCAAGCAGCATGTGCTTACAATACAATTATTTCAAAAATTATAAAAGGTGGGAAAAAAGTCATTTATTTCAATAGCAGCCCAAACGCGCCTCCTACCCAGTGCGATTGCTGTTCCAGTGCAGTGCGATTGCAAAAGATTTTGCATGCAGTTTTATTCTGAAGTAAACTTTCATTGGAAAACAAACTAAAAATGTTAAATGAAATACACAAATGCAGTGTTGCAAACAATCGAAAAAATAATCGGCCAACTAATCAATTATGAAAATAATTAGTTGCAGCCCTATTATCCTTTAAAAGACTCCATCAGAGGGAAGTGTAAGATGTGAATGCAGTATAACACTGTCATTCACCACATACTTTGCTGGTTCACTTATCTTGCATCAAGGAACTAGTTATCCTCAGCCTATCTCTTCCTCTGCCTGAGCGTCAAGAGATTTCACATGTGTTTTTATAGATCCAACACTCTTAGGGTATAAAGGCATTTAAGACTGCAACACCACTTTCACCTCACCAACTTCATCATTTGGGGGGACTTAACCCTATGCCAGCAATGAAAACAGTTACAAACGACAAAAAAAAAATAACATCATGGAATTAAAATATAAGCAATACTATTTTAGAAGTAAATTTTTCCATGAAAAATATGTGTATACATATTTATTTTACACAGATGTACTTGTGTTGCTGAATTAAACTCTGCCTACAAAAGGCAGGTAGAGTGCAAAGGACTAGCCACCACTATTGCTTGTGTTATCCATGCAGCTGATCTTTCCACAATACTGATTATACCTTATTCTACACTGTGTCTTTGTGTGGACAGGGTTTTGCTTCCTTATTTCTGAGCCTCCAGCAATGAAAACAGTGAGCAGCACAGTTTTGACATTACCAAATCTCATTCCAAACCC